AGATTATGTTGTATACTATCTGATGTCAACGTTAGGAGCTAACAATACGTTGTACACTGCTTAATGTAGCAGCAAAAATTGAGCTAATATGGTGTGTACTGCGCTTGGATAAAAGCTGTGCGAGATGAAAATGTCTGAGCTTTAATATTTGCATGAAATGACCTGAAAAACGACCTTGTTTTTATTAAATCAATGATATAATGTAGGCCTATTGAAGCTAATTACTGATAAATTGGCCTTGGGAAAAAGCATTAAACTTGAACAAAGCTTAATTGATTTTTAAACTAATACGCTTTTGAAATTGACGGCGTCTTAAAGCCATTATTATCTGTGTATCAGAGATATCCACAAGGTCTAAAAATCTTAATAATAAACAAGTAAACGACTATACAGAAGTATATTGCTAACAAGAGCTATAAATTTTGAATGTTCATAACTCATTTCTTATGGAGATAAAAGGAAAATTTAAATGCATTCCAAACATAAAGTAATTTATAAGTACATACCAGTGAAATGTGACCATTGCTAGTTTTGACATACACCTATATCCACACTTTTACATATTGTTCAATATTGACTCAAGGTATGGCCCCACTATCACGACAGGTGTATGGCAAGAACAATTTATGTTCAAATTTACAACGACATATGCTACACTCTAGAGCATAATAAACGGAATATGCAATTAAAAAAATATTAGAGAAGTTACAGGAGTTTTTTCTTTGTTTGCCTCTTTGACAAATGATGTGGCACGGAACGAAACAGAGCAATATCGTGTATGTCACCTATTTACAGTACAAATTTTACGACTCAATATTGGAAGATGAAATGTAAACAATGGGCATGAACGTCCTATTCTAGCTAAATGGGTTAATGAAGAAGGACAACGCCATGCATTGTGCAATTGCTTCTGTTCGATTGATATTTAGCGTACACAGCCTGTATGTAGCACATGGGGCCTTGGTTTATTGTCGTCTCCGAACGACTAGACGCCTTTTCCATGTCATCCCCAACATGACATTTCAATCAACCGTCATCACTTACTGTGCATTGGACCACATTTCCTTGTAGTCCCAGTTCCTTTCATTGTATTCGAATCATTCCTATATTATGGTACGCATTTGCCTGAATTGTTATTTTTAACCAAAGTCTTGGTTTAAATTCGGTAGACGCAGCTCACATACACTCAAGTACGTTAACCCTATAAAATATTTGTGAATGAAAATTAATAAATTTAAACAAATATTCTTCGCCTAGGGCAATATTTCATTTTCCACTACAATGATAAAGCAATCTAATTTTAAAAACATTAATAATTTTTTTTATTTATATCTACAATCTGATAACATGCATAACAGGCCTTTTTTTTTATCTATTTAATATAAAACAGATAGTAAAATTCAATTTGTAAATTCATTAAATAAAGACTTATATAATAAATTTCAAAACTTTCAATAACTCTTATTGTTCATCAATAACTGAATATGAGAATAGTGAATGCACATTTTGAATTCTTGAATTATAATGTATTTGCTGTCATGGATAAGAAAAAATGGAATTTTGTTCAAATGTAACTAAAAAAGAAATGCTAACATCGATCTTTCCTGGATCATCCGTACCCATTTACAGCCGATGCCTTGAAATGTTGAGGAAATATGGCTTATTCAAGTTCACCAGATTTGTTCAACGCAATCAAGCAAATGACGGTCTCGTCGACTGAGCTATAAAATATCCTATCCAACTAAAAGAATGACTTAAATCAATTATAGTACACGTTGGACCGAACGGAGACCAGATGCTTTGTGGATGAATGCCGTCGGGTTGTAAATGTTCAGAAAATGTTCGTCTGGATTACAGGGCTGGTCAGTGAAATTCAGAGATTCAGCTGTATTTGGAGACCAGGATCATTTTAAGTCCAGACTACGAGTGAAGCCATGCTACTATTGAAGTCAAGCTACTATTGACGTCAAGCTACAATTGAAATCAAGCTACAATTGTACTCAAGGTACAATTGAAGCCATACTACTATTGAAGTAAAGCTACATTTGAAGCCATGCTACTAATGAAGTCAAGTTACAATTAAAGCCATGCTACTAATGAAGTCAAGCTACTATTGAAGTCATGCTAATATTGAATTAAAGCTACAATTGAAGCCATACTACTATTAAAGTCAAGCTACAATTGAAGCCATACTACTATTAAAGTTATACTACTATTGAAGTCGTACTACTAATGAAGCCAAGCTACAATTGAAGCCATACTACTATTGAAGTAAGGCTACAATTGAAGCCATACTACTATTGAAGTCAAGCTACAATTGAAACCATGCTACTATTAAAGTCAAGCTACAATTGAAGCCATACTACTATTGAAGTAAAGCTATAATCGATGCCATGCTACTAATGAAGTCAAGCTAGCATTGATGTCATGCTACTATTGAAGTCAAGGAAGTCATGCTAGAATGGAAGTCAAGCTTCAGTTGAAGTCGGTTTGTTCTTGAAACAGTCAGTACCATGAAATTTTGTGAAATTGACAGGTACTATCACGTGCTCAATCTACAGACTACTTATACATGTAGTTGGCGATTATGTTGGTTTATATATCTCTTTGGTGTGGCACCACTAAGTGTAGGGGTTTATACTTGGAATATCAGCAAGGATAAATTCTATTTCGTCGCTTTCTTGTTCGATAATTCCATTTTCCCAAATTCCTACAAGGGGAATGGCACAAGTTAACCTGACAGATCTGCTCCAATACGGATACAGATATCTCATCCGTATATCACGTCCGAGGAATGAATAGATTCAGATTTGTCGGTCTAGACGTGGGAGGACACTTTATTTGCAGATTCAACTACAGATTGCACTGAACTTATCCAGAAAACCATAACGATGTAACGAAATATACACATTTCAACTGGTTTGTAAGAGATGTTTTACAAGGTGTGCAGTACTAATGTAAAAGTAACTATGTTTTAATTACACCCAGTAAAGTATATTTGAAGTGATATACCTGCATAAAACCACACTTCAGACCCACACGCTTCTCTTTGACATATGTATACAGTATTAATTATTCCTTATTCAACGGGAATATGCGATTGTTGTGATATATCAATGCTATTTTTCATATTGCACACTGCATGGCGTTGTACGTCTAAATTAGCCAGATTAGGTGCAGAAAGGTAGGACGTAAAACAGAAAAGGACAATTCATTTTAATAATATGTCTTCTTAAAGAAGCACTTAGTTTTAGGGTATATATGAAGACGATACGACACAAATGATATTGGTATTTAAAACCGAGTGTTTATTGCTTATGGATCACAAATTTTCATACCACGGAATAGAAGTACGGACATCAAAAAGTTATTGGTGACGTCAATACCATCTTAAAATACAATAATCACGATACGATTGTTTCGTATACATTTTGGCACTTCCGGTTGGGGCGACATAGAGAAAAAAACGTCATCCTGCTTCTCAAACTGATATATTAGCTGTTTTAAAGCCAAGGGTGCATTGTTGATATCAGATATCTATATATAGCCTATTTTCAGATATCTAGTTTTGTTTATATTTTTTTCTCAGCTATATGTGTATTATTGCTTATATTCAAATATTTGTATTTTGCTTGTCTTTTCAGATATCTATGTATTGCTTATTTTGTAGATCAAACATTCTGGTTTATTGCTCAATAGCGTAGCAGCTCGTAGATTGGGTTGACAATGCAATATCTCGCTCAAATATTAGCCTGCTACTATTTTGAGTATTTTTAGATCATTGGCTGGGAATGGCACATCAGGACATCAAGCAGAATTAATGCTTCTGTTAAGAAGATCCAAAAATAAATAATCAACTCCTACTTATAATCAAAATAGGAAGATGGTTTTCAATTTGAAGTCAGTTTCCTTGATCCTTTCAGGTAACGTAAATACAAAAGCGTGCACTTTTTAATAGAAACTTATGCGAGTTGGCAATTTGCACGATCGCTGAAATATTATAATCTTTACAAAATAGAAATGTTTGTAACTTTATGACCATGTATTTCATCATTCCCACGTCAACGACCAAATATGGCTAAAAATACTTTATTCTAAGGACGCAAATAGGTAACTAAGATCGAAAAAACTGCAAATATATCTTGAAGTTTTGACAAGTCCGGGAGTAGAAAAACGTACTTGTTGAAAAACCAAAATTTACACATTTTTCGCCCTTTGGGAAATTTTCAAACTTTTTTCAGTGATATAGCGTATTGTTTCCTGTTGCTTTTTTTTAACGGATTGCAGTAACCATTTGAAGTTTTCTGGACTATCAATCTTGGCCAATAATAGCGACTTTGCTTTGCCGAGGGCTGAAATAATGACGTGCCACATCTTTCAAATAACTTTAAGTCTACGTATTGATATATTTATCTGAATAATAATTGCAGTTAAATTCAATTATGAGATAATTATTGATATAATTTACCGCCCATAATTTCTAAAAGATTTTATCGTAAAGAGAGATAATCGTATTTCATTGGGATCAAAAACGTTACTATTTTTAAAGTTAAAGTAACGACAGGTGTTCAATTGCTTTAGATTTGATGAAGTTACTCAGCAACTACGTACATCTTGTTTAATTTGGATTTCAACCTCACGACTATATGATATCACACATATTTTCAAGTCACACATATTTTTGATAAGTGACGCCTAAGAAATTTGAGATATGGCAATGGGATAATTCGGGCTGGAACGTATACCATCGTGCAAACTTCGCTATTTCGCCTCAGCCTCCAAGTAAAAGAATTTTGCTAATTTTTTCGGTACCGGTGTGTCGATGTTTGCTACAGAGAAAACGAAAGTGCATAAACTGTATCAAAAGCCGATGGTTTTGCTGAATTCATACTCACAAGTGTATGGCTCAAATAGTATCATCTGCTCACAATTCGAAGGCTCCAATCGTATCATCTGCTCACAAATCTATGGCTCATATCTTATCATTTGCTCAGATGTCTATGGTTCATATCGTATCATCTGTTCAAAAGTCTGTGGCGCATATCGTATCATCTGCCCACAAGTCTAAAGCTCATATCGTATCATTTGATCACAAGTCTAAGGCTTATATTGTATCATTTGCTCAAAAGTCTATGGCTCATATCATATCATCTGCCCAAAAGTCTATGGCTCATACCATATCATTTGTTCACAAGTCTATGGCTCATACCATATCATTTGTTCACAAGTCTATGGCTCATATCGTATCATCTGTTCACAAGTCTATGGCTCATATCGTATCATCTGATCACAAGTCTATAGCTCATATCGTATCATCTGATCACAAGTCACGAAGCTTCTATTATTAAACCGTAATGAGGCACAATTTAAGTTACCGAATGTAATATTATTTACTGGTCGTCAACATAGCTTCACGTTCAAACAACCAAAGACTTATGGCGAGTAAGTACATGTATCATTCCAAGCTGGAAGGCAGACCTGATGTTCTGAACTTTCGTTACTAAACTGGATTAAATTTATTTTTTTTAAGATAAAGTCCTCTTAAGTATCCTAAAAAATTTCAACCATTTGACCCCCATTGACTGGCGGGTCAGAAATGGCACACATACTTAAATTGTATAGGTATTAATCTTTCCTTTTGAGAATAGTAGTTGATTGAAGTTGTTAAGTTTAGAATTGCTCAGACTTGTGATATTTGTAATTTACGTCATTTTAAATCTCATAAATCACTTTGCACGATTGTTCGCTGAAATATAAGGCTGTAATTGGATCTAGTTAGTTGATTCTGAATTAAATCACTACAGTACGGTTAAAAGATTATTTAATCTTCAATGTTAGCAGGGTAGTGTCGAGTATGTTATCACCGAGACGCTTCAAGACGGATTAATGCAAAATTTTATTGTAAAGCTTTATGGTCATCTCCAAGACGTATGTTTCGGCAACATATTTTGGCTCAATGAACTTTCTCATTACGCTTAAAAGAGGAATAACATGCGCATTCGCCACTGGCAGATCAACATACACCTTTAATGGTCCTTATAAGTTTTGATCACCACGTTATGATATTGAATGGTTATTAGATAATAATTAATATTATAAAAAAATATAATAAGTATTAAAACAGAATGTAATAATCTTCAATTATTTTAGATTGTTCACGATGATATAGATGGTAGAAGTCCCACTGCAAATATTTTAAAAACTTGTTTGCAAGTCACTGATAAGCATGTATGGCTTCTTTTCAAAGAAAGAGTCGATCCCATGGATTTATATATCAGTTTTTGGTTTCACTCGAGGTGTTATTTGTCTCGTGTAAATTTACATTCTCCGCCCATTCTGTCAGTCTCACGTGCATAGCTTCGTATTGTTATATGTTATTTAATCTTTGTCTACATCTTTAAAAAGAATTTCACATACCTTTTGATAATCATAAATCCAGGTAATATATATTGTATATTTTCCATAACAATAAGCATATCACTTGAGACTCAAAACTGTGACGTATTGATTTATTTGTCATTGTAAAGATGTTCATATGAAGTCCTTGTGTTCATGAGTGCTCTCCTTGTGACGTATTTGCGAAATAAATTTGCAAGCACTTTTAAAAATGAATTAGATTGTTTTAAAGTTATATATCACGATAAATTATCGAGCTGATAAATCTCAATTCAGGTTATCCGTATCACCATTCAGTATGAGAATTATACATTCTGTTCGTTTATAATATAAAACAAATCATCGTAATACGCCACGACCGATAAACTGACACAATAGGTACTACACATCATATTTTACCTCTAACTAAAGTTTTAGACGTCTAGATATCAAACAAAAAACATTTTCAAATATGGCAAAATGCATTCCCATTGATAAAGAAATCAGTTATAAAACGATGCTTGTCGTTAAGAGTTCTACATAATTTCGGATAGCATATCCTTATCGTGTGAAAGCCCAAAAAACTGAACATTATTAACGATGTGCTCTGAAATGACCGCTGTCGGATCAGACACCATTTGTCAAATGTTTATATCTATTATTTAGAGTTGTTTAATTGACAAACGTCAAGTTTCCTATTGAGCGATAAAGGATCATAAGAATTGAATAGGTGATAAGCATTGAAATATGTGAAGTGTTATTATATAAACCCGAGAAGAAATGACCCTGAAAATACATCATGAGCAGTGAGGCGAGCAGGGATTTTGATACATATATTTCAAGGCCCGCCTTAATACATATTCACTTAGTATTCGACCAAGAATAATATTGGACCACTTTAAGTCAGGTGTTTTCAATCATTTTTGTTTATTACCCCTTTCGAGTTCCTTGATCGATTATATCACCCCCCTTATTCGCACTATTTCATTATTTTTCGCCGGTTTTCCCAGAAGTATTTTTCATGTCGGAGAATCTAGTTTGACTTAACAGAACGACCTTAATAATGATTGTCTCAAAATTGTTTGCAACATTACAAAGCACCACCGGGAAATGCCAAAAATACCCCATTTGAGGTCACCACCCAAGGTTGAAAAACCTCGTCTAAACTGATATAACTAACTTTATGAAAAAGTTCCACGCCGACATAATGTTCTCTGTGCTAGTTAAGCTCACTTACTAAACCTCAAATCAACAACCGCCGAGCTTCATGGCATGGCTAAAATCACCACCAAGAGGTTTACCATCATCTGTAAAGAGATACTCATACATTTTATGTGAAACATTCTCATGTTTATTCCGATGTTTGTGATGTCCGCGATCAACTAAATCTTGACCAGATTAAGACGCTACCAACCATCTTTCTGAAATTATATTAACCACAGACGTCGTGATGGAAATGGGAATTGTACAGACCGAAGCTGTAAGAATATGAGTGACCCCAATGCACTTAAAAGGCTATACAACATACTTTGGACTTTTAAGAACGAACCAGCCATATTTACTCTTGCCAACCTTATATATAATCATAGGACCGCATGTGGACATGTGAATTTTCAAGAATATTTCCTCTCCACATCTCTATATCACCATGTTCTTATTCTGTAACATTGCTTTATCAAAATAGACTATATACAGCTACTTAGACCTCTTATCATTGTGTAATTGTCGCTCTTGCGATTCACGATAGTTTCAAAACGTACAACGAAGTCTTTACACAACAATCTTTAAAATATTTCACATTCTTCTCGGGCATGGATATAGAGCAGAAAATAATAATTCTATTATGAATAATAATAATAGATTGAAATTATAAAAAAGAAAAATTGTAAGGTTTGCCGCCGTCTGTATTTTGAAGAATGGATTATTATGAAATTATCATGCACAAAAAACAATTCGTGACGAAAGAAACTGTTCACGAATACTGCACCTCGATACTAATTATAGCAGAATACATCACGACTTTCAATTTCTGGCCACTTAAAGTATGAAATATGAATGTTATCAGCATTCCTGATTTTCGTATTGTTTATATATATTCGAATAATATCTAACCTGCGTTGAACTTGGGTTCTAATAGTTAAAGATAGACCAAATTAAAACATAACGACTCTCTTGTCAATGTATTTATGAAAAGTATTAGGTATTTCTTATCTTTCGGAATGATTATATTAATGCTGTCAATATCTGCGTTTTCACTTGATAAATGACGCTGTTTTTTTAGTCTATGAATGGACTGTTCGGATGCCATTCCTAATCTGTCAACTTTAAACTTTTGCATCCATCTCCAATCTCCAAAAGCATAATGGGTTTGTAAAGTGATTTATGACGTCACTAATAGCGGAGGTCCTTGTGTGATAAAGCATATTTTGTGATTAGTGACGTCAGCAAACACTTCGTTTTAGTGGAATTGCAGGAACCACAGATGTCTGATTGAAAACTGGAATGGTGCAAATTGATGCTATCATTGTCCTGTTTACAAGCCATTTTACTGAGATTGAAGCCCAGTATAATGAGTAGTTCTCTTTTGCGCGTCGTGAGAGAGGCATTCTACAGCAATACCCGGTGCGTCTGTGCAACTGAATATCTAGGCTAAGCGATTTCGTTAACATACCCTGATCACTGTTACTTCAGATAGAAGTTGGCTTAAAACAAACCTGTTCAACATTTGGTAATATAGTTAACTAGACAGCCTCATGGTGCTACTTGCCCCATATTTTGCTCAAGTGGTAAACATTAAAACTGTGTGAAGCTATTGATATCGTTAAATGATACCGATAGCAGGCTGCCAATTTCGAAAATGATTTATTCGTGATAAAATTGAATGATGTGGAATTTACTGCTATGAAACATGGCTTTGTTTTTAAATATTACATACTTTCATCATCACTCATATTGAAAAAAGTATTAAGTATCTTTTTCGACAAAAAAAAAGAAGCGAATCTTCCAAAATATTTATCAGTAAGTTTTGTAGACTATCATCCATTTGATGAATCTTCAAGATTTGAAAAATGTTCAATCGTAGAACTAAAATTCTCATTGACGAGTGCGTTACCAATTACTATGTCTTCGATGTCTGACATTCCAATCTGCATCACTCCTAAAACAGTAAATCAGGTAAATGTGTCGTTTGACAAGAAATACTGTGACATATTTTTAAAAATTCCACACGCATTGTTTTAAAAATACTATAAATCAAGTACTAACGATCCGAACCGCAAAACAAAATCCAAAATCTAAAAATGGCAAAACATTGGTAGCAGTTCATGAACTTTTCACATGAGGGAGTAGATCAATCATAAGAGAATAAGAACTTCATAATGAAAAGTGGTATCGGGTGTCTATAACAGTAAGCATACTTTTACAATAGAAAGAAACTCGAATCTAAAATTTTATGTTACTTCTTGAATAACGTAACGTAACATAACGTATTAACACAAGTTACACTGCGTCATCAGTCGTTTAAATGTTATTTTTTTCATAACACATCACGACGAAGCCATGTTTTCTTAATTAGGACCACAAAAGTGCCAAATGAAATTAAATTTATGATTAAAATTTAAACATTATCCGATTCCTCATTTTTGTCAAACATTATCAAAAGATAATGTTCCGGAAATATACATCCATATTCCACAGGGATGACTGCTCGGTTTTTAAGATCAGTTAGTACTTGTCCAAAATTTTTGTTGATTGATCTTTCCAAGATTATCTGTGATGACCTGATCTACAAATGGTACCACAGTTTGCTGTGACAACCAGGAGACACTTCGAAAGCATGTTATTCTTTTATGATAGTTTAACGAGCTATAATTAATTTCAGATTTGAGTTATTGGTTTGACCTCTTAACGTATCCTTCTCTTATGTAGAGTTCACATGCGACTTGAAGATTCGAAAGAATCCAAGGACAGCTAG